GGTTTTTTACACAAATGCCGAGTAAAGGCCTACGCGCTAATCCATAAGCACGCCGAAGATGGTCTCTGTGTCTCACGATCATGGCCCTCGTTGTGCATATGTTTATCTGTCTGTAGAGGTTAAGGCCAAGTAATGAGTACTGCTACAATAGATACATTCCAAACAATAGATGTTATTATAGACGTATAAGCAGATTATAAAAGGTAAGATTTTGGTTGAAACCTACTTCGTTTCCTCTCTGAACTAACGCAGCTTTGTGGGGCGAGAGACGCTTTTTCTGCAATGCAGTGAGAGAGGGAAATGTGTTAGCGAAAGAGTCACAACCAGCGAATTGTTGTCGGTTGACTTCGGGTTCTGATTCCCGACGCATCAGTGAGTTTTTTTTCTTTCAGGCTCGTTCTCGAAATGTGGAAAACATGCGCACAGCGATGTTTAATGGGGACCGCATCAACTTCACCGAGAATCGCGCCGTACTTCACATTGCGCTTCGCAACAGAAGTAACAAACCAATCCTTGTCGATGGAAAAGATGTAGGTTTTGACTTGTTTTAAGTATATCATCATTGAGTATTTGGAAGAGGGCGCGAGATTTCTGGAAACCACTGAAACGAGCCTGTGATCATTCTTTCATTTATGTAGGCCAAGTTGTCTTCACCATGGCCCAGCGTCGAAAAATTGGAAGGAAGCATTAAAATGAGTGGCAGTATCTTTGCAGTATCTAGTGATTACATATATTTGTTTTTGTATAATGAGTAACATGTACTATTCGCCTAAAACAACAATAAGCAATCCCTAATCTCGTTAATAAAAGCCTATTTTCCGTAGTATTCCCAAAACATACTTCTGTATATAAACTGCCGTTCTCGAATTTCCTGGCTCGTAAAAGCTAAAAGGATGAATCCTTACCGGCGTACATATCATTGTGTATTCGATATGGGTCAGATGTCCTCTGCCCTGAAGTTGTGGTATTGTTGAAGTAGGTATGACTACAACTGGTCACTTGATCGCTTTCTTTACTTGCTGTTTACGGTATACTCTGAGCACCTCCTTTCTTCTTCCCATCCTATATGGTAAAAGTTTTAGATAGATTTCACTATTCTGACCACATTTCTCTCATCTATATGGTAAATGTTACGGTAGATTTCCACATAAGATTGAACAATGTTTAACTTATTCACACTTGGCTTGTTTAAAATGTTGTTGAAGTTTCTGCAAAACTCTTCGCTTCTCAGTAGAATATTCCGCAGGTAATGCCGGATGTGAACCGAGTTCTGGCTCACATGGAGGATTTTTGCCATAAAATTATCAGTGGAGCATGGACTGGCTATACAGGACAGAAGATCAAGGATGTGGTTAATATTGGAATCGGTGGTTCTGATCTGGTAAGTTTCTGTTTTCCAAGTTATATATGCATACGAAATTTGAGTAGATGTTCATGAAAACTGTCCCATGAATAATAAGTCAACATGAAAACAAAATAAAATTGACCCCATTGCATTTGCATTCTTCCAGTCACATTTGGAGCTAAGCCATCGATTAACATCTTACGGAGCAAACATGAAAGAATAGATTTGTCGTAAACAATTGACTAAATAGTGATTGTGACTTGAAAACTTAAGGGTCCTCTGATGGTTTGCGAAGCTCTTCGACATTATCAAGTTGGACCCAATGTTCACTTCGTTAGCAATGTTGACGGAACTCATATTGCTGAGGTAAATCCTATTGTTCTTCGTGGAAACTGACGTACTCTCCAAAAAATCACGGACGGTTTGTTTCAGGTTATTAAGAAGCTCAATCCGGAAACTACATTATTCATCATAGCTTCAAAGACATTCACCACTCAGGAGACCATAACAAATGCGGAAACAGCGAAAGAATGGTTCCTAGCTAAGGTATTCACTCTCGTCCAGTCATTATTTACAATTGCCTCAGAGTACACGTTCCAGGCAGGAGACAAAAGTGCTGTTGCAAAGCATTTTGTCGCTCTTTCTACCAACGTTCCTAAAGCCACGGAGTTCGGAATCGATCCGGCGAACATGTTTGAATTTTGGGATGTGAGTTCGCATAATTATCGATTCTTTGGCGAAGGCCTGATGAGTTAGCTTTTTTTAGTGGGTAGGAGGAAGATATTCTTTGTGGTCAGCAATTGGTCTTTCTATTGCTGTACACGTTGGATTTGATAATTTCAAGAAGCTTCTAGAAGGTGCTCATGCAGCAGACCAACACTTCGTAAACCAGCCTCTTGATCGTAACGTGGGCACTCTTTTCATTTTTCTTCGTGCAGTTCTATATTATTGCGCTATTGCTTTGTTCAGGTGCCGGTTATTATGGCAATGTTAGGAGTTCTGTACATCAATGTCTATGGTGCAGAGACGCATGCACTGCTTCCGTATGATCAGTATCTCCATCGGTTTGCTGCTTACTTCCAGCAAGGTGATATGGAGAGCAATGGGAAATTCGTGACAAGGTTCTAGCATTTATCATTACCTGTTTTGGCTGCAAACTTAGAAGCTTCTGAACGGTTCCATGTTAAGGGAAGGCGGACGAGTTGACTACTCCACTGGCCCAGTTGTGTGGGGTGAACCTGGTACTAATGGTCAACACGCGTTTTATCAGCTAATTCATCAAGGCACTCGCCTGATTCCTTGTGATTTCATAGCTCCCGCTAAAACACTCAATCCAATTCGCAACGGCCTGCATCACCAGGTGAGCATTTGTGCCGCACGGCTCCCGCTAAGGGACTTAACAGAGACGTTTGGTGAAGTGGCTGTCGTGTATTCTGTCATTATAGAGAAAGCGCTTCAGATTCTTCTCGCGAATTTCTTAGCCCAGACGGAGGCATTGATGAAGGGTAAGACCCGTGAGGAAGCGGAAGCTGAGCTGAAAGCCGCAAACACTCCAGCTGACAAAATAGCGAAAATTCTTCCACACAAGGTATGGATCTACTGATGGACTGATGGAAATCTCCTATTTGTAGCAATCACATAAATCATCAGAAACGTGGTTCTTCAGGTATTTGAAGGGAACCGTCCTACAACATCGATCGTACTGCCTGTAGTTTCTCCGTACACTCTTGGTTTATTGATCGCCCTATATGAACATAAAATCTTTGTGCAAGGAGTGGTTTGGGACATCAACAGCTATGATCAGTGGGGGTGAGTTATCATCCAACCAGCGCCATTGTCTTTTTTAAGTGATCTTCGACGGATGTCATTTCTTAAAACTTCGATGTTTTTTTAGAGTCGAACTCGGAAAGCAGCTGGCCAAAGTCATTCAACCAGAGCTTGCCTCCAAAGGCACAGTGACCTCGCATGATGTGTCTACGAATGGCTTAATCAATTTCATCAAGTCATTTTAGGCGAAAACTCTTTAATGAGAGTAACATTAATGGCATTTATATGCAGAATTGTTCTCAGTGTTTACTAAAACGTAAGCATCGTTACGGTCACAGGTAGCTGCCACATTTGGTACCGCGTACCGGTTCTTAATTTTAGCCCAATCTCAGTAGGTTTTAGTGATTTTCTTATATTAGCAGTGTTCCTTCTAGACGACGTTCCACACACCCAGTATTTGTTGTACTGTAGCATGAAAACATAGAGAGAAGTTCAAATCCCGTTCTCTGTTGGTGAATTTGAACATTTTGTAGCTGTGATAGGTTTGGTGTTCTAGTCGTCAGTCGATTGTCTACGAGTACTTGAATAAAGTTGCCCTATGCGTGACTGATACAAATTATGAGTAAAATCTCCTTCCATATCTGAGTAAGACACTTTAAATCACCTCTGGTGAGGGTGACATGTCGAGGTTGTCGATTGCATTTACAGGAAGATTCATCAGGAAAGATGTGGGACGGATACGGTAGCGACCTTTGCCCCTATCATTGCTTCACTGTTACTATTTCGGCAGTAAGTGCTGCACTGTTATTGACGTATATTTCGTCTACAGTTCGGTTTTATGTCAAAGTCCTCATCTACCTCATGGCTATCATAGCTGCGGGTACAATTGGAGGTATCATAAGTATACCCTTCGGAAGGACGCCACATAACCATTATAGAATGTTCTCACTCTTCCAATGGTTCTGTTCGGTTTTACGGCTTCGCTTTGAATTGAGGAATAAACAATTTTTGGAAAGCGAGAAGGCGTTCATCATTATCGCCAACCATCAAAGTGCTCTCGATGTCCTCGGAATGTCGTATTGTTGGCCGAAGAATTGTGTAGTGATGCTCAAAAGTAGTCTCAAATATCTACCGGGATTTAATCTCTGTGCTTATATGTGCAATGCTGTTTGGGTCAATCGCTTCAGTAAAGAAAAGGCTCACAAAGCTCTCGACTCGACGTTAGATGCTATTAATACAAACAATCGAAAAGTGTGGATCTATCCCGAAGGAACACGCAATCCTGGAAAGACAATGCTTCCATTCAAAAAAGGAGCATTTGTTCTGTCTAAGACGGCTAAGGTTCCTATAGTATGTTGCGTCTTTTCGTCTCATAGTTTCTTCTACGATGCTGCTACGCGACGATTTGACAGTGGAGAATGCTTGGTTGAATTCCTACCACCAATAGACCCTGCAAACTTCGAAGGTGTTGAGGAGCTGAGCGATCACTGTCGTACTTTGATGATGGCCAAACATGATGAACTTAACAAGGAACTGAGGAGTAGATATTGTTAGATCAAGAACGCCATTATTTTTTTCTTTTTTTTTATTATTTTTTTTAAATTTACCGCTTAATGTTCAATTCATGTAGTTTGACTGTACGTTTTAATGTTTTGTGAGACAATAGTCTTGCTCATACTCCGATGCTCATACTCAGTAGATTTTAGTGATTTTGTTATATTAGCAGTGTTCTTTCTAGACGGCATACACCTAGCATTTTTGTTTCATTGTACCATGAAAACATAAAGAGAAGTTCAAATCTCGTTCTCTGTTGCTGCATATGAATTTCACTAGCTGTGATTAGTTTGTGTTCTAGTTGCCAGTCGATTGTCTACGAGTACTTGAATAAAGTTGCCCGATGTGTGACTGATACAGATTATGAGTAAAATCTCCTCCTATATCTGAGTAAGACACTTTAAAAGTGACTTGTAAGGTTGTCGATTGCTACATTACAGAATGGCTGGCTATGCGCTCAAACGCCTGATGACAGAGTACAAAGGTGAGTCATGACATGATTCAGAAAATCAGGTTTGACACATCTACTTGCCTATGTATGCATGCGTACTCCTAATTGTAGTTTTTGTAGAGGTACTTCTGTAGATTTTTTTTCGGAAAACTGATTTTGAGAAAAGAATTCGTTATTACAAGTATAATTAAGTGCATATATAGAAATAAATTTACATGTTACAATTTTTCTATTGCAGATAATTTCAATAATATCAGCTATTTAGTTAATGGCATTATGAAACAGAAATAGGCATCGCCATTAGTGTGCTTCATATTCATTCCTGTCCTTGATTCAATCCAAACAATACCTTTAGCCATCCCCTTTTCCACTAACCCCAAACCACTGATGAGTCTCCGGGAAAGGTGGAGACGGTGGTTCGTCTCGTGAAGAGGCGAAACGAGCCATCTTTATTTTATGGTTGTTTTGTCTTTTTGATGAACTTGCTTATTGTAGTTTCTATGTTCCACTGACTTCAAATGTTACACTTAACCTTTTAGAAAGGGTAGCGGTTTAACCAAATGGATTTTAGAGGTCGTTATGGAAGTCTTGTCTTAGTTCGACCCTTAGAATGTTGTGAAATAAAGTAATTGACCATCAAATCACTTGAAATTGTCAATCCTTATATGACTGCCTCCATCTATAGGTTTTCTTAATCGCTTAGCTCTTACCAATTTGCGGTCGAGTAGGAGTAAATGTTTGTGATTTATAAAGTAGAGTGGTATTACTAAAACTTGATTCTGGAGTTTGCTATTTGCTTAATTTTGTTAAGCCCTGACTTTCGAGTAGTTGGCATGGCGGATGTTACACTTAAGAGGGATCTTAGTAGATCCTGATCTATTTCGAACAACTTTACAACTCGATGAAGTATGAAATAATCGTGAACTCTTTCTAGACCACCCTCTTTCTGATAATAAGACTCTTCTAATCCAAGAAAGGTCCCTGTCTAATGTTGATGGCTTCTGATCACATTGTTACATGGAACTACCAGGGTTAGGATTCGATTTTGATTCATCACTGTTCCTTTCAGAGTTGACAAATAGACCACCTGAAGGGATTCTAGCCGCACCATTGGAGGAAGATAACTTTTTTGAATGGGAGTGTCTTATTACTGGTCCGGAGGACACATGCTTCGCCAATGGTGTGTTTCCTGCACGAATTTCGTTCCCACAGGATTATCCTCTGAGCCCACCGAAAATGAGGTGAGGCATGTAGTTCCGTAAGCATTTGCCTATGTTTACTTTTAACGTTGTCCATCCTTATCGTCCAGATTCACCTGCGATTTGTTCCATCCCAATATCTACCAAGACGGTCGAGTTTGTATTTCAATTTTGCACGCTCCTGGCGACGATCCAACTGGGTATGAAAGTTCATCTGAAAGGTACGTAGTGAACTAAATATTAATACATACGGATACCCAGTCCGGCCTTATAGGACTCCATGACTGAAATGTTTGAAGTCAGCACAACTTTACATATGCATTTATTAATTTAGTTATTTACTTATTAGGATTTGAAGAACACTTGACTTTTGTAAATAGTTGGGTACTACTGGAAATGCCTGTTCGGTCTCGATACCTGTCGAATGTTGTAATCTGACGCAACGTTTCTACAGTTTCACAGCTGTCCGGATTTTCCGGCTTCCCCTGGTGGGAGTATCTATCCAGCCAGAAATGACCACACTCAATTTGTCTCGCTTTGAATTTAGTACGGCTGACAACGATGTCGTGCAGACATTCTATCAATTTATAGCAGTTCGTTTCAGATGGAGTCCTGTCCAGTCAATCGAGAAGATCCTTCTTAGCGTTGTAAGCATGCTGGCTGGTGCGTTCCTGATTATCTCATAAACTTGAGGAACATTACATGGGTACTAAACTCATTGTAGAACCGAACGATGAATCTCCTGCAAACGTCAATGCAGCAAAAATGTGGCGTGAAGATAGACAACAATTTGAGAAGATCGCCGACAACCTCGTGCGGAAAACCCTTTGTCTACCACTGTCGGAGTCATGAATAGAACTGCTGTAATGAATTATTTACTAACGCTTGTATGTATCCGAAAAAATAAAATTTGGGAGACTGAATCTACCTTCCTCCAGATGGAAATTTTATATTTTATTCCTTTTACGTTTTTCTTGAACCGTTTTCGTTATGGTTTGCTGAGATCAACACTGAATAGTATTGTACAGCGGACAGAGATTATCAAGAAAGTTACGCGATTTTCGCACAAAAACGAACTGGTGACGATATGGGTAAATCACTCGTGTGCTCTCAACATTTAGAATTTTATTCTTCTCTAAATTGGCAGCATAATCTCTATAAAAGGCATTTTGAAGTTAAGCAATGGGACAATTTTACCCGAAACAATAAAACAGAGTCACAATTCACTTTTGGACGATAGTACCGGGGTTTTCGTATGCGTTCATCTCTGAAACAACAACTGTTAGATAACCGAAAACATGATGGTTATTCAACTTACCAAGGCTCCTAAAGCCCTCAGTTTGCTTTTACACTGTTCTAATTCTCGCTGGGTTACGACCAGCTGCGAAGCCAGCTCTGCTTCAGAAGTTCGAGACTTTTCCAGATCCATAACTAATTTCGCTTTTTCAGTGACTGAAAATTCCGTTGATTCATGGGTACTATGTAAAATAGATTTTGAAGGAATAACATCATCCCAACGTGAACATAAAGCAAACCTTCAGTGTCACGGAAGAGCTCGACCAACTTCCTGTACTTCGTTCTGTATTTATCAACTTCTGCTTGTGCCGACTGCACTTTCTATAAGGAGCAGCACTCATGCTCAACATTCAAAACGTAGCCCGAGTAATGAAAGCGCACCTCATTCGCTTTCAACATTTCTTCAATTGCTTCAGAAAGTTTGCTTCTATACAAAGCAATAACCAGTGGATCAGCATCCTGAGAAAAGCAATAATACAAAAAAAATTACAAGAACAAACTGAGGATAGAATCACCGTTGTGCTGCCAGGAGATGACTTCACCCCCTGCTTTCGTGATTCCTCGTCAATGGATGCCAGTATTTGATCGACAACGGAAGGACTCTCTTCTGTCTGAATAATAAACGTGCAGAAGAAACCAGTACATACAAAAATAGAACCAAGTTGTAAACATAGCAGCAAACTCCTACTTTGACTTCCACAGGAGGGGGCTTCTCCTTGGGACTCGAATGTGTGTTCTGCTTGGCAGCCATCTGAGAACTCTCTCTCAAAGCTTGCTTGAGATCCTAAAAAGAGGCTAAGAGAGAAACGGAGCCATGGGGAGGATTCTTTTTTCACCCTTCCAAAATCACTCTAAATATGAATCTGCTCACCTCGCGATATTTCTGTTCTGACGCATAGTTTTCATCGACTCCCTGGACAACTAGACCCGTTGCTGGATCTACAACCTGAACTAGGGAGAATATTGCCAATGGAACAATATAACATAATTATTTATTCATTTATATTGTCGACTGTAAGACAGCAACTACCTTATCCTTATTTCCCTTCTTTGGTTTTGGCCTCTTCTCGATGGCATGGACTACGAGCTTGCCGCCATTCTTCACCTTTGGGCCGCCCATTCTTGAAAATGAACAGTATCATGGTTCATTCAAGAAAATATCACCACATATGTGAGTAGAATGGGTAATATCCGCTTACCCGTTCTGGCCACCTTTCTTGGAGGCAGCCTTGCTGTTAGATACCCTGGTGAACTCCTCATCGGAATCATCGTCGATGTTGAGGCATGCGAACTTTGAGCGAGACTCCATTTCTGAAAGTATCATTTGCAAACTAGCAAATAAACTAATTTAAACCACAATTTACGATGGGCAGTGAGTTCCTCGTAGAGGTAGCTCGTTCATGTCGTCCTTATGCGAAAGAAAAGCTGCAACTGAACCCAGCTTTTCACGTCAACATGAAACTGCTACACGGTAAAGAGAGGCTTCTGAGACCTATCCAGAACATCTAAAATTTTAGAACTACTCAGAACCCCTTTGAAAAAACGGATTGGTGACACGGTGGCACACGGTTGTACGCAATGGCGGAACCCTTCACCTTCTTAAAGGGTGCTGTTCTGGTGTTCCTGTGCGGATTACGCAGCCAAATCAACCTTGACTGAGTATTCGTCTTCGAAGACGAGTCTGACTTTTTTAATTCCTGAAAATTTTATATTGTTAATTGGTTGTTTCTCGGAGAGTGTTAAGCATTAGAACCAAGGTCTTCGCATTAAAACTGGAATTCTTAAATCCTTCAATCGTAATTAGTGTCTGGGGTCTTGATGGCTAGTTATAACCGGTAAATCATCGATATAGCGATTGGTTATCCCCTACTTCGTTAAAGCTACGCATAGGAATTGCTTATATCGTAAAGTTTTGCTTACTGTTGCTTGTAAGGTTTTTCATGTCGCAATTTTAATCACCATTTACACATGCACTTAGAGGTATTAACTTAATTTAGGTAAAATGGTGAAGGCCAAGCAGGATCGCAAGGCTCGCAATGCGATTAATGAAGTTGTTACCCGTGAGTACACCATACACATGCACAAAAGGATAAAAGGAGTGTAAGTGTCTTGTGTTATTTCGATCCTCAGTACGGGAAGAGCTGAGCTAAGATCGATTGAAGGATTCCTTTTTAGAGGCTCTAAAAAGCGTGCACCTCGTGCTATCGATGAAATCCGAAAATTCGCCAAGCAACAAATGAACACAGAAGACGTTCGTATTGACACAAGATTGAATAAGTTCGTTTGGTCAAAGGGAATCAAGTGAGTGACTGTTTATCGCTTAGCTTTTTGTTTTCCGGATGCTCTATGGTTTGAGGTAGGAGCTGTGGGCTTTAACTCTTTGTTTTGTGCTAGAGATTTTATCGTGCTCATCTTTATTGGTAGAAAAAAGAACAGGTCAGGAAACCATATGGAATAGGCCCAACAATTGAGTGTGAGGATCAGGAAAGTTGTTGAGCCACTACTGGATCATTGAGTCCCTCACGTTGTCCCCTTCCCTCACCCACGAAACATATGGCACCTCCTAATATAGTGGCTTTGTTATCCCTTTTAATCTGTTTTCTTACTTTTCTTTTTTTGTTTATTTTGGCTCGAAGACGTAGAACGCAGAGAAGGAAGAGTGGTCGGTTTCACAAACCCATAATGGTGGTTAGGGGCGTTTTTACACCAAGTAAAGGAGGTTTTCCTTTTTATTGAGACTCAGAAGGGAAGGAGCACCGGGACGGGTGAGTCGATTGAATGTCTGAACCTACTAATTCCATTTTTTCCACAACTTTTTCCCATGAGGAAATCATCTCACCCACCACGGTACTCCTTACCTACTAAGGGTTTGTTCAAAATGTATTCCCTTGGCTTAAAGTCTCTGAGCACAAGTAAGTCAGCTACTGCTCCTCGGCACCTTAGCGCTCAGTGTTGGAAAAGAACGGTGCCCAACCTTTGCTCCCACCTCTCGAACTACATTTTCACCAGGATTTCATTCGAGAAACACAGTAGCAAAGATATGAACTTCCAATACACGCTCTGGGCAATCACCACATGTTTGAGCAAGGGCATTCCACGGGATTTCCCAAGTTTTTCATGAATGAATGGACAGCGCCAGTGTCGTACCGTCTTCTGCGAGTGGTGACAAGAGAGTAGCACGAAGATAGTGGCTGAGGTACGAGCACGTTTGCTATTGCTGCACCGCAAGAGACACTAGTGTTTGAAGCAGCGCAAATATCTAATATTTAGACGTCCTCTAGATTCCATCGATTAGTTTGGGCGTAACTGAGCCAGTCGCAACTACCGCTTACCCCAATCAACTCCAGCATTTCATCACTCTGTAGGGAAGGGTGTGTGAAGCAACTACAATTTACCTTCAACCGCCTAAGACCCTCAAAATATCGCAGGGTCTGCCGGATTATAGGTTGCTCATCGAAAAAGCTCAACATGCATCACCTTTCTTGATAATCATATGCTTCGCCTGCTTATGCATCACTTTGTCTAACTTTTAGCTCTCTGAAGATGGCAGGGTATTCACTATCATGCTGGATCTTATTATTGCAAATAATTGGAGGTTGAGAGCAGAGTGGTACATCATAATTTGCTGTTTTCTTGGGCTCGAATTGTGCACTGTTTTTGCATACCAGACCTTTGAAAGCGATGAGATATGACTGAATGGAAGAGCTTTACTCTCGCGTGATTTGACCCAAAGCTGTTTAAAAAGTTGTTGTTCTTTTGCAGCAATTCAGGTGAGTTATGATGTGCTCTGACCTTTTCGTAACGAGTTCTGATTCCATTGATTTTTTCACAAGCTGGGGCAATCTATACCCCGCTTCCCCCACTTTTGCACTGCCCTTTGCAAGATTTATTTTGCATGAGCTGCACACTAAAATAGGCTTACTATTTCTTGAACGTTCGAGATTGTGTCTAGAATTGAATTTCATTCTTGATTAGTCAATGTTTCATTACATCTCAAAATTTCCTTTTATGAACTAACTACAAAGTAAACGAGGAGAATTACGATGCCGCTTTCTCGACGATTGCGATTTACTATTATTCACATTATTCATGAATTACACTGAATTTCTCGTTTTGCCTTTTACGGTGTTACTTTGTTCTACCTTTTCTTTAACCTTTTTTTTCACGTGTAGCCTTGGTCCATTCCATCACTATACTAGAAAATTCTATATAGAAAGATTCTTCATCGCAGTGTATTTGGGTGAAAAAACGTACAAGAAACATTGCGCTACCATTTGAAGGAAGGGTTTTAAGTGAAGGTGAGCAACAAAAACTTGCGGGACATGAGACGATGCGTTTCCATATCTTCTCGGTGTGTGGGATGATTATTAGATAGGGCTTACATTTGAAAAAAAATTGATAATCTTCCTGAGGTCTTGAACAATAGAGTGAGCGGATTGGTATATGAAAAAATGAGCATATAGTATAGAGAAGGATATCGCAAAGTTTTTACTTCGTGTAGTATTATGTCGAAGACCTTTTATTTTATGGCTTCAATTTCACTTGTCATCTCGAATTGCCTTTCGTGCAGCTAATGTTTGAAGTCAAAATTCGCGGCCTTTGGTACCCGAATCATAATCATAGTTCCCCAGACCTGTCAGTCTGTTTATAGATTTGGCAGATTTATAGTTTGCGTTACCATCATCGTAAGCGCTCGCCTGTTCAACTGTTTATTGCGCTCGTCGTATTATTTTACTTTTACCCTTTTATTCTCAAGCCTCGTGGGTTCTTTTTACGCACTTACATTTCGGGACCACTTTTATCAAAAGATGCTTTTGTTTTGTTATGTGCGGCTATTTCCGTTATAATTGTGGTACAAGCACTCTGTATGGGTGCCTCTTGAACTTTAGTAACTTCTTGCAGGAATGTGCCTTTCCGTATCCGCGTTCGTTTGTCCCGACGCCGTAACGAGGACGAAGATTCCGTGCACAAGCTTTATACCTTATGCACCTTCGTTCCATGCACCAACTTCAAAGGCCTCACGAATGTGAATGTTGACAGTGAAGAATAAATTTGTTCTTGTTATCAATAAATTGTTGTTATTGATTGTTTTCGACAATCTTGTGTCATATGTAGGTGTATTCCACACTTTACTGTACTGCATGAATTGCCGTACAGCGGAAATTGTTCGAATTGTGCTAGTGTATTTCTATCGCGTTAGGGAACAGGCTAGGTGCGTTTAGACCGAAACCCTGTCCCTACATTTGCAGGGGATATGAAAGTGGAAATCGAATGAAGTGTACGAATAGTAGTAACCAGTTCGCATACTTGTGATTTGTAATGCTTTTCCTCCTGAGAGGGTTGGCGTGTGCTGCGTTGAACGCATTTTGCTGTGTTTCTTAGTGATTGCTAAAAGCAACTTTAAGTTTTGACTGAGTTTGTAGTCGGTGAGATCGAGTTTTGAGGAGTCGGCAGGCATGGTATACGGAGGTAGCCCGAGCTTTGTAAGTCCGGGTGGTTCCTAAGTTAGATGTAAGCTTTCCTGTTGTATGGAGAAGCCTGGTGTATTGTAATGGAATTGCATGTTTGGTTTGGCCCTTTGGTTCATTCAAAGTTCGTGTTCTGTTCGTAGAGTTCGCGAGGCTCAGAGCACGCTAAGTCCATGCTCTGAGCCTTGCGTTTGCTCGTCTTTAACATCATCGTAAAATCAAAGTGCTGCGGGCCAACTCGTTTGGAACTTATAGCAACGACAATTGTTCCTTGGTGTTCATGTTTGAGCGCCCAGCGCTCACGTGTGTGAGCAGAGTGAAACCGTATCAGAGAAGAACCTTTTTGGATTGGTTATGTGTAACCTAATTTAAGAAGTATTTGTTACCTGGTACGGAGTCTGAATGACCTTATGAGTGTCCTAGCACGAGCACTCATGGGGATAAAATAGGGTTCAGTGATGATGTGCTTCTAGTCACATCTCGTTTTTTATTTAAAACAAGTTTTCAATGCTATCGTGTATGTTATGCTTATACATAATTGAATAACAAAAGAACGGTCGATTCCGTGTAACCAATTTTGTGTACGTAATTACGTAGAGGAAAAGAAAGTTAGTTACCAGGCTTGAAGATTGTTGATCATTGTTGTACGTTTAGAGATGTGCATGTTACCTTCGCAGTAAACGAGAATCGTTCAATTTCGAGACAGCTTTCAGCTGTACATGACGGGCCCAGGATGAAGTTGTATTCCACACTCACAGCCTACATAGTCGAAGATGACGGGTATCGACTCATTTGTTCCAAGATTGACGGCAAACTATCTGTGGATTCAAAAGCCGGTTAGTACCACGGACTTCTTTGTTGTGTCTTTTTTGATCTTGTTGTTTTTCTTTTTTAAGGGGTAGTACTTTTAATTAGGCTCAAGTATTTCCATCATTCTCGCCCTATACCAAATTCAATATGTTTCGTAATATACTTATAAATCAAAAATCGAGCGGACCCAAGCTGATGGTTGTTGTCAGTGACTTGAATCAGCCCGGATGTGTAAGATAAATCGAAAGCTGTAGTCCTGTTACCAGGGCGCCCAAGGTCTATAAGTTTTGGGATGCTTTGACATCGTTACGTTTTTTTTTTCCGAGTACTATCCTTAGCGAAAACACTTCCTATTTGCCCCATGAGACTTCGTGCAGAGCTGTTCCGCACCGCCATTTCACCATGTGATTGCAGACATTATACCTATGGACGCTGAAGAAATATGTGATATCATATCTGTTATTGGACGCTTAGATATTGATGGCACTAATTATTTGCTTTTCGTCAGCGAAAGTACAGTGGTTGCGGAGTTCATTCAACTTGATGTAAGTCAATGTTTTCTCCATCTAATTGTTTTCCATGTTTTCCTCGAACTTCTCAATGGCCGTACAATTTGGTTCGTTTTCAGAAGAAAAGTTCGGTGTATCGGATTGATCGGGTCAAAGCTATTCCTCTAGATTCCAATGTACCATTAGATATAGCTGCGACCACAGCTCCATTGCCGTCCGAAGCAGCAGCTACTCGCCGTTTGAAACAAGGCACAGGGAAATTGTTCAAGTTCGTCCAAGATAAAATAGGCATGTCTTTATTGAACATTTTATCCATTTTCTATGAATATTATCTCTCTGATTTATGGCATGAGCTCAGAACCACTATTTTTAGGCAACAGCCCGAAATCTGGAGTTTTACTCGACGAAGTGCTTCGACTTTTTAATGACCATCCCGACTTCTACTTTTGTTTTGGTAGAGACATTACGCACACCACCCATAGGTTCGACCTACTTTTAAACTTCGAATATCGTGCATGGTCAGGAACATACATGGACTTGGCTATTAATGAAATTCCACTCAATAAATGCTTTCTCCAGACATTTCTCATCATCTGGATCTGATCCTGATGAACGATTCTTTTGGAATAAGGTGTTACTCAAGGACTTGCTCGAAGAGACTGTTGATAAAGATCTAGCGAAAAGATGGTGAGCATTATGCATGTATTTTGTACTAATCTTGATACACGTGAGACAGAAATAGGGTATTGATAAATGCCGCGAATACTAAAGTTATGAGTGAGATCCCTAATCGAGCCATTCGGTTCTCTGAGAGCGTAAGTATATATTTTTCTGGAAAATGGAACTTATCGTTGTTCTTCGTTAGTCCCACAAATCAATGCGCACATCGAGCAAGCATTAAAACGCAATTACGATCTGATCCAAAGTCGAATAGGTGGTTAAAGTGTTGATAAGTGAAAGAAGTATCATTTTACTAAGCTTTATGTACGTTTCTGTTGCTTTTTTTACCATCTGACAATTCAGGATCGTACCAGTTACGCAAGGAAGTGTATTATGTGATATATTGACAGTTGGAGATGATCCTGAAAGTCCTGCCTTACTGAAAATCACTTTGATTTCTCGACGATCAGTTCATCGTGCTGGAGTAAGATACTTGCGGAGGTGAGGATCACGAATCGAAATCACTTTCTATGAAGTAAAGGTGTACATCACCCTGTACACCTCGGTAAAACATCCAACATCGTATAATTTTATAACCTAACCCTGGTATTTGGGTTAACCTCGCTTCATGATCGTAGTGGAATAAATTGGAGTGCTTAATAAATACAATTTCTATTGCTTTTATTAACTCTTCGTTGCCAGAGGTATCGACTGCGAATCGAATGTGGCGAATTTCGTTGAAACAGAATTGATTCTCGATATTTTTGGCCACCACTTGTCGTTTGTTCAAGTCAGTTTTTAAATTTCTAAAGTTTTTGTTAAGCAAGTTTCATTGACCATCCCTTATGTTCATTATTCAGGTACGTGGTTCGGTTCCGATTTTCTGGAGTCAAAAAGGCTTCAAATATCGGCCACCTTTGACTGTAGATAAGAACTTGGATGAAAGTGTTCCGTACTTCACAACTCATATGCAGGAGCTGCTTGATCGATATGGTGCCCCGTTAGTTGCTGTGAATTTAGTCGATCAAGCCGGAAGGGAACTTAAACTTGCTACAAGTTTCATAGAGGTGAGATTATTCCTTTATAATGCTGTTAAAGTCCTCGTCTTCATTGTTTTTCTTGCGAGCCGAATTGGCCCTAAGCAATATGCCACCATTAGATTTCCAGTAGGTCATTGAACATTGATGCTAAGGAAAAGTTTTGCAGAAAGTAAGAACTGGAAGCGCAGTAGATGAAAAGATTAGAATTTGTTATTGAATGTTCCTTTCTCGCAGCACGTCCCATAAACCTTGAATTTAGCCTACATTTTCAGTCCCTATGGGCAATCCAGATTTCTAATGTGCTTCTCGTCTCTTTTTTGCTTCTACTTTTTCGTATTCCTGTATTTTGAGCTGGTGCTAGATTCCTTCAGTTCCTTCAAGAGTAATTATGTGCTTTGTCTTAAGCATGCTGTCAAAATGGATTGTCCAGATCTCTATCTTGTATCATTTGATCTTCATCGTCATTGTCGAGGCCTTAAATTTGACAAGGTTGGTTCAACACTTACTTCACAAAATCCGATGGAGTATTCTACAGCATGTTTAGATTAATAATCTTATTGGCAAATTGGAGGAATTACTAACGCAAATTGGATATTGTTGGGTCGACAAGACAGGTATTTTGATTTACAGTCTCAGTTTTACCAAAACTCAGCTTTAAAAAGGCTGCTCATTCTATTTGGGTGAAAATAAAATAATGGAAATAATTTAGGTGAAATAGTCAAAACTCAAAAAGGGATTGTACGGACAAATTGCGTGGATTGCCTTGATCGGACAAATGTGGTGCAAGTGAGTCAACATTAAACTACGAACCATACATGCCAAAAGCAATCGATTGTGAATACATTATTAGGGTGCGATATCTCAATGGGTCTGTATGCGTCAAGCACAACGGCTTGGATTGTTTGGTCCGCTTTGTGAACCGCCAGAAGCTTTAGTCACCCTTCTGCAGAACATGTGGGCCGATAATGGAGACGCAATATCCACTCAGGTTAGTCGATAGTTTAGCTCTAGTGGTTGTGCATCCATATTCCATTTACAGTATGCTGGTACAGCTGCTCTAAAAGGAGATGTCACGAGAAGTGGGGAAAGACGGCTAGCTGGAATCATGCGCGATGGTTACACTAGTGCATCTCGATATTATCTTTCTCATGTGAGAGATTCTAGTCGGCAGAAGGCCATCAATGCGCTTTTGGACTACAAGGACCAAGGTAGTTATAGTCTGTTGAACTTAGCTTTTCAACGAATACGCTAACTACTGACATTATTCGTTTATATTAGGTTCCGAATCAATGGTAGACACTGATTCCGAATCCGAGGAAGACGAAAATGTGTGTCGACTCGTAGCTGAAACTATACATTTTCTTTTACCTGAAGGAGAAGTAGTTGTAGGTTAGTGTATTTTAGAAGCTTCTATGTTAAGTATACTTCGTTTTTTCCTGCTTCCAGGAGGCTGGGCTCTCTGTAGTTCTCAGCAAAGCGCAGATTCGATCGACACAATACTACTTCTCACAAGGTCCGCTTGTTTTTCCTAGATAAACAAGAACCATGCTGAATTCTCTTTAGGAACACTTTGTACATTGCTGTATACGATGACGACTTTGAGAAACTTGAAGATCTTAAAATTGTTCCACTTGAGAACGTCATTTCGATAGAGGTAAGCCAAAAATAAGTGCTCAAGATATCGCGAAGGCTAACTCTCTTCAGGTTGGTCGATCTTCACGATCTGGTCGATTCTACTTAAGGCTGACTTGTGTCGAGGATAGCTGGATGTGGCGAGCTGGAAGAACTCGTTTGTTCAATAACGTCGCGTTACGACTGAGAACTATAGAAGAGGCTGCTGAATACACAGAATCGATCGCAGAGCAGGTACTAACAAAACGAATATGGGCGGTGTGGCATTATTTACCCTTTACTGCCCCACCTTGTCGAGAATGGGCCGGATTTCTACCGAATTTTCTCAAAGAAGATGAAACCGGCTAGAAACTTGGCTACGGGGGTAATTTGACCCGTAGAACACGAATATTGCATTCGTTTGTCATAAAGATGCTTAGCGCTTGCGCTACAGGCGCCTGCGCCAAATCGCTGGGTCGCCGATCCTACTGAAAACTTGCCCCTAACTAGTGTCCAAGGCATTTTCATGATGACTGGATGCGATATTCGTGTTCTACGGGTCAAATTACCCCTCTAGGCAAGTTTCTAGTCTGTTTCATCTTCTTTGAAAAAATTCCATAGAAATCCACCCCTTTCTCGATAGAGTGGGGCAGTAAAGGGTAAATAGTGCCGGCGGTGTTGCCTAAGTCCAATAGACGGGAAGTGTCAGATTGAGCAAATCAGAAAGAGTAATTAGCGCCCATGGATCGCTATTAATTACCGCTTTCGTCAATATTGTAGTAGATTACTTGGTTACTTTTACATTTCCTGAGAAGAGTGCACGTATCTGAACACAAAAAGGAATAATTTTCTCGATTTAGATCAGCGTCACTATCAATTTGTGCATTGGAAAGGATGTTCCTGTTCAACGGTTAGAGCGACTTTCATTGCCGAGATCTGGAAATACAGCAAAGTAGGTAGATTCAATATGATAGTATTCACTGAAATGCTCTAGGTTCAAAAGTTTTATTATGCGACTTCTCAAGACTGTCCACTCAATTTTAGAAAGGCTTTGGCGTCAGTAGCAGCTGCTTTCAAAATGCGTGTACGTCGCCCACAAGGCACTCCAGCTGTTCCCACAAGCACATCTAATGGTTGGGTCCTCTCCTTTACTACTACGTTTCCCTTCGCTTTAGGCGTGATTATTCAGCAGACGAGGATCGCGGAGGTCTTGCAGCAAAATCGGATGTACCGGAAGCAACGCTTATTGACTTCGAAATAGTCGATACAGATTGCTCGGCATCAAAATCAACCGCGAACTTTCAAGATGATATGAGTTCCAATAACGGAGCCACATTCACTCCACAGGTTGTTGATGGAATCCATTTTTAAAACGTTGACGACAATATAGTCCACATGTGCACTACACTGGCCATGTCGACTCACATCCACATGTGGAGTGCAGTTGTTCATTTTTAAAACTTTTTTAGCTATATTACTATTTTTTGACACTTTTTTCTCGGATCATTAAATCAGACCTAAGAGAAGCTATATACCACGCGCTACCAGAAAATCTTGGTTTTTGGTATTCAAGTTTGACAACACACCATGGTCTTTTGGAGGGGGGGGGGGGGGGGACAATTTCTAGACATAATTGAGCGCATGAAAGTCCGTCAATGGAATCAAAAAAAAAGGAACAGAATGTCCATTTATGCTGCAGCTGTGGGTGGGAAAACGCTGGTCATTCGCCTTTTTTCCCAGAGTTTATTGCCATCATAAAAGTGCCATCAGTGTGTAGATGATCATAAAAGTTCACATAATTGCTTAAGTATGAGCTGGTGCCGCATTCAACCATTTCAGATTCATGCTTCCGTTTCTGACAGCTGTCTAACGGCTGATAGTACCCGAGAGGCATCTTCGTCTGGGGGACTAGTCGGTCGCATTCGAGGACTGAAGCCGTTCACACGCTCAAACTATACTAACGCATTAACAAACAGCCCCTTACAGAGCCTTACTCCATTAATGTCCTCTTCTCGAACTAATTTCATCACGCTTTAGACTGTTAATAGTAGTATTTCCGAACGGGGTGTTATCAGTCACTCGAGCAGATTCTGTTCCTCGCTTATCACTTATGTGCGATTGTATATAATCTATCTACTAATAATTTATTGAAATAAGTTATTTATTGGATTTTTGGATAGGCCCTACCTTTTTATGTGTGAGCGGATCACTTGGTTCGCTGGTGAGCTGATTAGGTACGTTTTTCTTTAACGGTGTACGCTGGGAGTAGATCGAGAGGTATAAACGAGGTGTAGGATAATCACTATGCGCACGTAACCGTTAGAACGTACCCTCACTACTATGCTTTTATATTTTCTGTGATTTAAAATACCGCATAATTGTATTGTCATTCGTGCCAAATGTATTCATAATTTGTTCTTCTGAAAATATGGTAAATAAAGCTTGTTAGACTTGTATTATTGCCTTGAGAGCAGAGGTAGTGGTGCAGTGGCAAGTTGCGCAATACAGGCAAGGTCCCAGGTTCGCACTTGGCCACGCCCTGACCAAGCAAGTCTTCCATCCTTTTGGGGTCGGTTAATTGGTGCGAAACTCGTCTGGGAAGATAAAACTGGCTTGGACAACAGCATTAATTGTAAGGGCAAAACGGGACTACGATTCCGAATGGAAGTTCAATGCGAGGACGCATTCAAAAGACGGTATCGATTCACAACAAAGGACTTTGTCCTTTGCAGTCAAAATGGTGAACGGACGGACGTGAGATAATACTATCGCTCGTACATTTATGCTTCCCTTACGGTGTGTGGAAGAGGGGGGACGGGGTGCTGGGTTGCACAAATTATTATGCGAGCGCCATTTCACTTCTCTTACATTCTCCAAAGCTTTGGTGCTTTTCTTCCGGATGTGAATAGCAACATTTCATGGGAGCATAATTCGTGATGATCAACTGGTTTCGATTATGAAGCTAGGATGCAATTAGCTTTTGAGATAACGAAATTAATCATTCAAAATCTGCACGAATACACGAACCAAATTGATAATTGTTAATTGAACCCAAACTCACGAACCGTCCATATGATGGGAGATAAACAGGACATAGCTGGTACTTGATGCATTTAAATAATAAGTGTATAACTGACAGCATTCACTAAATATGTGTAGGTCACGTTGCGACAGGCTTTACTGCAACTTCTTTGAGTTGCTTGAAATCCAAACTTTCTGAACATTTACGCAGGTGCTATTGAGAGGTTGGAACACCTCAGGGTGAAGATAAAGTAGTCGTCTTAGAAAACCGAAAATAGCTCGAAGCTTAACTTATGCGACGAAGCACCCAAACTCGTCAGGTCAGTTGCAACATTCCGGAAAACGCGCACATCAAGAGGTTCCAGGCGATCCCGCTCTTCTTTTAATATATTTTTTTATTGAATTGGAGCAGTTTGTAGTCAAGAGACGCATGGTCACAGCTCTTAAACCGCTCCGAATAGAAAAATTAAACAAGTTTCGTGGTAATGGTAGAGCCCTGACATCCGACTAGAGTATATGGTGAGCTGAGGAGTTCTAGTGGTTTTCATTAGGAAGTGGTAAGATAAACTCCAAGCTACTATGAGAGGGTGAAATAAATGTGCTCAGAAACATTTTTAGAATCAAATGAACAGGAGCGAAGTGAAAGTATGAAATTAGGAGCTGGTTTTCGTTGTTTAAATTGATCACTTCAACCACATAGGCCATTGTGTCGGAAATCCGTGGCACATTTGTCTAGCAATGGACCAGAAAAGAAGCACATCGAAATTGGTTGTTTAGCACAACAAAACAACAGTAGTAACCTTTTATACGCGTGCTTCTCTCTAGAAGTCAGACCAGAGCAAATGAGACAATAAACCATCTATAACTAATTAATGAAAGAGTAGGAACTGATCCGACCGCAGAGAGAGAATGAAGCGTGACGAAGCTAGCTGAAATTGTAGCCATCAAAACAACATATTACAAAGGATCAACATAATAACCAATGTCCTCTCTCTTTGGAGAAAAGAGAAAGTTGGTAAAAATGGGAGGAAGTTTTTCACAACAACAAAGCTCCGAATAATGGGTCGAGATTACGCAAAGTTTGCAGACTTTGGCGTATAAACAACCAATTTACTGAAAACATAAGTAAAAGAACGAACTTCTAATGTACATATTTACTTCCACTTCTGGTTCTCATAATCGTAGTATTTAGGTGCTCCCAAGAAGTTGCCCTAAAGAATACTATTAGCAGCATTGTCTACTGAAAACAGAAACACACCAATTCATTAAAAGATCTGCAATGTATCCAAGCAATTGCAGCGAATTAGATGTACCTTTTCAAGAACGAGTGCCCTCTTAACTTGTGCTTCCTTGTATTCATTCTGGAACGTTGGAGGAATTTCAGGGAATACTGAAAAAGTATGTAGCCAGACAAGGAATGGTAAAATAAGAAAAAATTTAGTTCATACCGTAACAATTGAGGAAGACGCTGTAGAACGTTGCGAGGGAAACGACGAAAAGGAATCCAGACATGATTACCTGTGCATTACGATTCACTCAAGAGGTTTCTTAGAAACAGATAGAAAAGGCAGAAAGAAAAGAGGGAACAGTCGCATAACACGCAAAAAAGAATGAAATACCTTCCAGTAACCGGTTGGCGCCTCGAACTCTGATAATGTCTGTTTGAAACTGTAGCGATACACTGAAAATGGTTTGTACAAGATACCAGCAATACGAACCCACCCAAACATATAATCGTACAGCTGTTTTGAAATTATTATAGCCAGAAACTAGCCCGAAGTGTGCAATAGCTAATTGTAAATCAAAACCTTCGGATAGGAATTTTTGAAGAGGGAACGTCTAACCAGTTTGAATGAGATAGAGTCAAAACTGCAAAATAATAAAATGCGATCATGGCACTATTATTTGAAGGATCTACAGGAAACAAATGCCACAATCGCGATCACAAAATTTTCACAATTTGATGCATTGTTTGTATTGAGCCATACCTCATTCACGAACAGCAAACACTAAAAAGGAAAATGGGTTCTCACATGAAACAGATTATAGTTCGGCCTTACTGACCGAAATCATTTCTAAATTGTGAAGATATAAACCGAAGCTTTGCCTAACTTAAGTTCGCTTGATTCGCTTCTGATTACTTATAAGGCACTTGCTTCGAAAATAGAGCTTTCCACGAACAGAAATTAGAAGTTATGATCGTATAAAAGGAGGGATCGAAGAATCTCATATGTAAGCTTAAAGCTATTTTTTCAAGAAAAAGTTTCAGTAGTATAATTATTGCGAGCACGATTGAAACAAGTACCCTCACTCCAGTTGCTTGCAATTTCCATTAAATCAATCCGAGTAAAACTTCAGATATCGAGCACTCAACACATTCACAACCCTAGTCTCGCTTGTTTAAGGTCAAACCAGAATTGCATGGCACCAGTTTGATATGAATAGTGTAAGACTTATCAACCATTATTGATGCTCTAGCATGTTTCGGCGCCTCTTTCCGAATTGGAGAGAACTAGGGGAAAGGGCTTATCTTGCCAAGCTTTGATCATGGATGCCCCAAGGGCTCCATGTTGTTTGTGATGAAAAAGCGTTCGCACCTAAGAACACTATCGTCACCGAAAGGATTCATTCGGATATGTTATCTTCCTTTTGACTGCTAATTATTACAGTTGAAAATGCCGGGTCTTCCGTTGAAATAACTGCGAGACTACATAAAGGTTCATCTTCAGGAAGTCACAGGTCACTTAGCACCAGCAGTCATTAGGAGTTTCTGTACTTGCGCGAACGTTGATTGCTAGCAGTTCAACTTTATCAGAAGCTCTCCATAAACCTCCTGCGCTAGATACCCACTTCTCAGCATGAACTCAATGCTTTCATGGATGTGGAAAGGGTTTCAAACTCACTCTTGAAATTTATGGATAATTTCCTTTGATAGACTATAATCTCGATTACCTTCAACTCATTGAAAATCGTCTTTAATCTACTCATATTTACTAGACATTGGGGAACAAACGGTTCAATTCTTATCTACTACTTTTGTTAAAGCAATGGTTTTCCGAAGGCATTTTATTGGTTTTGAGTATTGCTCATCATTATCGGTGTCACTGGATGACTTTTATTAATGCTGTGTTAACTATTAATGGAATAAAACCTTCTCATAAAGGTAGCTAGTTGCACGCGTAGTCAAATCAAACTTGAAAACAATTGCCTCAATCGAAAACCGTAAAAGTAGCTAGGAGACGGATCAAGAAAGCAAAGCGTATCAATTCGAGGTAACTGTAAAATAACTCACGAAGTTTCTTGTCCTCAATAGAAAGATTCTTCCAATCACCAAGTTCCTTCTTCCTGATTGGAGCTATGATATCATCCTCTTTGCGAAACCTGATCGCCGGATACCAGTAATCCAAGCGGTCGTCGTAAGTCTTAAGATAGAATGGTACAATAGCGAGTGGATTTTGATAAGCTTAAGAGATTGAAGAGGATAGGGGATCTTACATTATCTCCATTGACTCCAAACCCAACAAGTTCACGTCCGGCTGCCTTTTCAGGGCCCCACCAGTGCTCGATGTGATGCCCGCTTGTTAGCGGGGCTGACGTTCTCAGAGAACGAACAGCCAAGCGAGGCAGCGTGAGATTTCGAGACAACATGTCTGCAACACAATTATAAATACCAACATCTCCCACTCATTAAATAATATTCTACTGTATAGAAAGCAACTCTTTGCAAGGATTTAAACGAATTAGATTGATAAGGCGTACAGTCTTTTTAATATAGCACCACAATGACATTCAGAAATGGCGGACAACTTCAAAAAACAACGAAACATTCCGCTAATCCATAAATAGCTTCCAAATATAAAAAGCAAGTGAGAGAGAGGGAAGAAAGAAATGGCCGCCCGTGGGAAGACTGCGGTTTTGCCCCTCAGCGCGGCAGTTCAAAGCAGTCAAATAATTACGATGGAGCGCCGAAGCATCGAGGTTTCCAATACTCCTCACATTGCTCACAATAATAGTTTTATCGGCCTTTAGAAGCTAGGATGACGAGTTTTTAGGGAAGCGCAAAGATAATTTGCATGCACCATGTATCAGGTATCGTCGTAGGACCATACTCATCATGTGACAGTTTCCTTACTCCACTGACCTCGCAATGCCTGGGTGTGTTGGTGGGGAATAGTTCTTCATCGCACTTTTCGATCACCGAAAGGTCAGAAGGCGTTCAAGAATATTCCACGGGCACCGCAATATAGTTTTTACCCGGGTTTTAGAATAAAATGAGCTAGTGGCCAAATGGGCCTCGGTTTTTCAACTTTTCAGCTTCCACATGGTGCTCCTCCCCTTCTAAGGCCTAGGTAAAAAAAAAACCATATTTCCTTGGTCTAGATGGATTGAATTGGTAAAATACAAGACAGAACCCAAAGAAAAATTTCGCGAGAAGCTCAGCTTTATCATGTGTTCGTTGATGATGAGACATTCCAAAGCTACCGGCGAAGAAAGCGGCACAGAAGACCGTGGTTGCTGAGAAGAAGGATTTCCCTTCTAATGGCAATGAGAGTCTCGAGCAGTGGTGAAAGGTATACTCATATTCGCGAAGCTCACCATCGTCCGGTTGCAAGTTTTTATTTATTCATCCCATACACTGAATGGGAAAGCGTGGGGAAAGATATGGAGAAAACCACGTAAGAAAATGAACAACAATTTCCAAACAAACAGCTAGATCACGAACTACACACCTATGCTTGTAGTAGATGTGGACCGTTTGGAGGAATCACGAAGCCTTGGATGGATATGGACTTGCTGATACGCAAAAAAGGCATGGAAGAAATTTAGAACCGAAAAATAAGAAGCAGTGCATCTTGGCTTCACATTCTTTGGGAGAATTTCGATTGGGTTAGAAGGGATGGTACGGCCTGCCTCAGCAGGGGGTCCTTAGCTGTTACAGGGCGTACCGTGTAACCTGAATCCTTCCTCTGAGGTGATGACGTAATGTTTGACAGTGGGACAAGAGTTTGCTCGAGTAGTAGCTGCAAGCTCGATCCGATCGATTAGTGACGATCAGACTTAGTTTATACCTTTTACTTGTTTACGGATTTCGATGAAAAAAACGCCGCTACGGCACTGATTTTACACGTGAAAATGGCCTTAACCTTCTCTAACCAGGGAAGGGTCCCAAGTCGAAGTGGCCATTTGAAATGAGACCTACACTGCTAGACGTGTTTTTGGATGCTGAGTTCAAATCTGCTTTCCAAATTTGCCGAGCGTTTCTCTGAACGGAGTTATGAGGGTGGTTCCAGGGAGCTTAACATGAGAAAACCTAAATTACATGGATGCTCCTCTCCTCTCAGCGGCGGCTTGGTGTAGTGGTAAGCGTGAAGCTTTATGGGCGATAGGCTAGGGTTCGGCTTTCTTGAGAGACGTGGTTTTTGCATTCTATAGAACTTTTCCTTTAGGGACTAGAAAATACTC